ACATTCTAGTACCTCATAAAATACAACTCTTATTTTAACAGTTCCTTGATTTCCTCCAAAATCTATGGCTGACAAAGTTAAATCAAGCGTCTCCCCTGCAACAAAGTCTGTCAAGTCCTTATTGACGAATATTGTTCCATAGGATGTAACATCAAAATATTGGAAATTATATGTTGACATATCCAATCTATATATGACGTCACCATAGCTTGACACATCTGCATCCGTTGCTGTGACATTTACAAGAGCGATTCCGGCCGTTTCATAAGGTGTGACGTAAATGGGGTCTTCTGACGAATCAAAAGCTGGAGAATTATCATTTATATCCGAAATGCTGATCACCAAAGAAGTGGTGCATGATAAACTTCCTGTATCAGTTGCTGTCACCTTACATGTGTAGCTAGAAATCTTCTCTGTGTCAAGGTCATAAGAATAAAAATATGACACTCTTCCTGAATTCGAATTAATGGAGAATCTCCACGAATCTACTCCGCAGCTAAGCTGGAAGGTGTGAGAAGAACCGGCATCTTCGTCTGCGATCACAAATCCAGCATCCGAAAATAAGGTCCCAGCCTATGTAAAAAAGAAACTCTTAAAAAAAATTTTGTAATCTAAATTGGATTGAAGGCAAAGAATTTCAGAAACAATATTTTATAGAAAATAAAAAGAGTTCCTGCAGAAAGCAGAACTCCGATCCTAAGCGTACCGATCCCTCATCGGCCGAGACCGAGTACTGATTTTGGTGGAAGGAACACGGCTCGTTCTCGTCTGCTACAGAGACGGACATGGTGGCGGTCGAGGTGTCCTTTCCGTCTGTGGCAGTGATGATCAGCTGGTATTGTTTAGAAGGAACGGTCTCATAATCGAGCATCGTTAAAGATGTGGTAATTTCTCCATCTGAAAAAGACAAATAGAAAAGAAATTCTTGAAACTATTGAAATATATTAAAACAGACAATAAAACCTAAAAAGTTAACTAGGAAACTTACTACCTTTACTGAAAATTGTAAAAGTTTAAGCACAAGCCTTTAAATCTTATTACATAAATCGATGGAATAAACAAAGATTATTGATTGATTTCCTTAATCTTTCCAATATCTGAAGGGAAAAAACTCAAGTTTTCTTTTTCCTCTATGCATCTAATTGAGTATTGTCTTGTTATTTCGTTAATAAAATGTTTTAAATTGTCAGATACTTGTTTCGTTAATTGTAAAATATGAGGATCCCGTTGTTGGATTATATTCGACGTCATATTGTATTGTGTCCGTTGTGTCTAGATTGTTGACGTCTACTTTGTACAATGTAACTCCAAGAGGTGTGTTCTCCAGCACGTTCCAAGTGGCGCCAACAGGCAGATTACCGAAAACGGGGACATCATTGACGTCTGAAATAACAATACTTTACAATTTTGCAAACGGAAAACAAAAACGCAGTTAAACTATACTAGTCAATGCAGAAAAAAATCTATAAATGTTACAATTTTATGTGAAAAATAAACTTTGATGATTGAAGGTAAATGATTAATAATTTGAATTTAATTGTCATCCATCTTTTTAGGAGTATGAATTTTTTTAATGATATTTTTGACATTATAATTAACAATGACTGATGTATAAATGAATATCTGCATCAAGTGCAGCACCTAGGGCCAGCAATGTGTTACAGATTTTCCTTTAAGCAATTATATTATTATTCTTGCTTTGTAAATGGATAGATAAAACTCTGGCTGGTATAGTTGTACGAACGTCCGCTACAGTGATGGACAAATCATATCCTGCCTGGAAAACCTCCGACAGGTCTCTTGTCACCTGAATATCGCCATCTAGCGGGAAAGCAAGTAAACACCCATTAGAATCAAACAATCATCTTATTAATGAGGATTCTTATACCCAAAATCTTATGATTTTCTGTTTTTATCATGAAGGTTTCATATAATTGAAATTACGGTTCTCAAAATCTTGCTTATCAAAACATAAGACCTACAGTTGAGTATTTGGAATGGAGCACTGTTCGGACTCATTGTAAAGGTCAGCGTGTCGTTCTCGTCATCATGAGTTCTAACAGTAAATATTACGTCCCCCGCATGTACACTAGAGGCATTTAGAGTAACTTCAGCTTGAAAAAAAGATTGACAAAAATGCAACATGAATCACAATATGTTTGATAAAACAAGAAATGTTACACTTTTAGGTAAAATTTCTATGTGAAAATATTTCAGACATGCTTTTACATGTAATATTTTTTTTTCTCTGGATAACAGGACTGTGCTGTTTAAATCTCCAATTAATTATTTTCTAATTTATAAAGGGAATAAACTTACCAGGCAGATTTTTTATGACTGGTGGCGTGTTTTTCTGGATGTCAACATAGAATTCCCCGGAAGTTGCTCCACCAGTTACGTCGGAACAAGACACCACAGTTTTATATTGTTTAACTGTATCAAAACTTAGGTTTGGATTGGGCAGAGAAAATATTCCATAATCTACAGCGACATTAAAAACAAAACGTATTATTATACTTTCATGTTAATTACTAAAATCTGATTGGTTTAGACGCAGTTAACAATCTGTTCTATTACCCTCAGCCTTAGCAACACACGTGACAACGGGTAACACAATGGTAATGCCACATGCGTGGAAATTATGCGCGTACGATTCACCGTAGAATTCTCAAAACGTCAGTTGTGCGTTTGAAAGAACCGGAATAAACTTGACGTCAATAAAAGCTTGCGTCCGATATAGCTTACTTGAAAACAACAAACGACAGACGAAACATGCTTGCGAGTGCAGAAATAACGAAACTTCAGATGATAAAGGACTCGTAGAGTATCAGATAAACAATAAAGACGTCAGTAAATCTTTTTCGAAGTAGCGGGGAGTTTGAAAGCTTTCTAAACGTGAACGAAAAGGCGATCGACGATTTGTATTGCTGACATAGTAAATCAAGAAGACATTCAGTATAATAAAATAAATGGTGCCTGTTTTGGAGGGTAACAGTTGAAATTGACACCCCTCGGAAAACCATTGTCAACCTCCGCTGACGCGTCGGTTGACAATGGTTTTCCTTGGGGTGTCAATTTCAACTGTTACCCTCCAAAACAGGCACCATTTATATACTGGAAATTGATAGGAATTGTCTTTATTTCAAATGCATAGATTTTTTTTATCAATTAAAGAGGTGAAGGATATGGATATAACGAACAGTATTCAATATCAAAGTCCATAAACAGTACAAAATAGGAGCAGAGCAAACACGGACCTCCAAAACATCAGAGTTGGGATCAGGTGCCATGGAGGAGTTGGGCATCCCCTGCCGACCGGTCACAACTGGCTCTGATCTTTAATCCCTTCACCGGTACATGAATAATGTGATGCCTGTATATGAGTGAAAAATTCTTGAACGTGACATAAAACAACATACAATCAATGAATTTAAGGATAAACCTGTTGTTCCTTGGATCTGCTGAACTTCAAACGGTGCGTTGGATGGCGACGTAGAGGACAATTCACACGTGACAACATCCGACTGGCGGTCAGACGTACTTAACGTAAACAGTCGTAAGCGGTTCACTGTGTCCTCGTGTATAAGACAACTGTCCGGCAAATTGGTAATAATGGGAGGCTAAAATATCAACATCAGTTACAATAACAACTGTTAATCCGGTACAAAATCGTGACAAAAATAATATTAGATCCTTACCGTGTTTATAACTTGGACTGTTATCGTTGCTGCTGCCGAGTTCTGACAAGTGTCAGTCACACTGAGTGAGAGCGAGTACGTACCAACTGACAACGCCGACTCGGTGACAATGTAACCTATAAAATACCCGTGAAACGTGGAGTGAATATTGTTGCCAAAGCAGATTTATAATCAGAAAAAACAAGATGTGTTTGTTAAACACTGATGCCCCCGTATGGCAACATAGCGAAGATTAAACTTTTCTTAATGCAAATTTAATTAATTGGTACCAAAAGTAGGGTATTCTCACTGGAAAACAATTGTGAAATTTGAAAGTAGGCCAATGTTAGAGTTTTTTCAATAAGTACAAAAATCACCAAGGTCAAAGTCAAAAGGTCAAGGTAATTGGTATACAATGAAAGGTCTTGCCACATAGAATACTTATGTAGAGTATGGAAGCCCTAACCCTATCCGTTCAGAAGTTATGGTCAAGGCTAATTTTTTTTTAAGTAGGTCAAACTCCAAGGTCAAGGTCAAAGGGTCAAAGTTCTTGTTATCAAATGAAAGGTCTTGTCACAAGAAAAAAATATGTAAAGTATGAAAGCACTAGCCCTAATCCTTTAAATGTTATGGTCAATTTTAATTTTTGCTTTTTTAAAGTAGGTCAAACTCATAGGTCAAGGTCAAAGGGTCAAAGTTCTTGGTATCCAATAGAGGGTCTTCTCACAAGGATTAAATATTTGAAGTATGAAAGCCCTATCCCTTTCCATTCAAAAGTTATGGCCAAGGTTAAAGTTTTTTCACAAGTGCGGAAATCTACAAGGTCAAGGTCAAAAGGTCAAGGTTGTTGGTATCCAATGAAAGGTCTTTAAACAAAAAATACATAAGTGAAGTATAAATGTCCTGGTATCTACTGTCCGAAAGATATGGCCAAAGTAAAAGTTTAAAATTTTCATGTAAAAGTGGGTCAAACTCCAAGGTCAATGTCTAAAGGTCAAATTTGGTGGTACACAAAGAAAGGTCTTGTCACAAGGAATACACATGTGAAATATGAAAGTCATGGTTCCACCTATTCAAAAGTTATGGGCAAGGTTAAAGTTTTTGCGGATAAACAGACAAACAGACAAAGAGACAAACAGAGAGACAGAGAGACAGACAGACGGACACGACAAAAACTATATACCCCCGAAACTTCGTTTACGGGGGCATAAAAATATTTTAAGTAATTCAAGCTACTATAGAAGTAAGATCCTAACAAAGACAACAACGGACCGCTCTGATAGTTGAGGTGGGCGGCTGAGGTGGTTGGAGTTACGATGAGATCCTCCCGCCTGTCGGGGTCCCACACACTGACGGTGTACACCCTGCTCCCTACCGCTGTAGTATCAAACACCGTGACCGTCAACCCCATGTTAACAAAGTATGGAGAACCACCTAGTAAAAATTCACAACAGTTTTTACAATATAAAAGAAGAAAAAGAAAAAAAATATACAGTCTTTAATGGACCCCTGCTTTTTTCTCGCACATATACTCTTTTCATATTTAATAAATGTAAATTTTAATCATCTGTCTGTTTATAGTTATTTTTCTATAATTAAAGCATAAGGAAACACATAAGAAAAACGATGATTAAATATAAGGACATAAAAAGTAAAGAGTCTTAAAATTAACCAATTCTACTCACTATCCGCTGTGGATACTTTTATGGCATATGAGATATCATTAGTATAAGCCACTGATAACCATGTGTATGTATCCCCCTCGTACACCGTCAAACCAGCCGCTAACGTCCCTATTCTGATGTTATCTGGGTACACTGCACTTCCAGAAGAGTAGGATACCACCGGGTCAGAGGGGCAGAACCTTTTAATACAAGAGTTTAACGAATGATTTAAACGATACAATTAGCTGGTTTACTTGCAATTATTTGTGTCAGTAAGGATATACGTTGTATCACATGGATTCGAAAGTTTCATTCATAATGTTTGATCCGATGTCACAGGAAAACATTGGAGAGTTATGTTTACCGATGCCGAATGCAAAGAGGTGGCCGGGACCTGGTGAATAAATTAATGGAGCTTGCACCCCCACCCCCACCCCCTTTCGACAATCGCGCGGTTGGTCCTTTTGTAATTATTGATTAAAAAATTTGCCAAAAACTTCGAAAAATCAACCTTTCAAATAGCACTGAATCTCAAAATTCTTGGACAAATACGCATTTGGAGTGGACAACCACAGTCCTTATAACAATCAGAATTGGTTAAGGTGTCATGAAGGAGTAAGCATCCCTGTTTGAATGAAAAACGTCTGTCAGCATTGAACTTATTGACAGATTGTATTTGTCATCGACTATAGAATTTGCGAGGCAAATATTCTCATGTCATCAACTAATTTGAGAACCGTTTGCCTCGTTGTAGAAAGTGTTTGCACGTAGAACAAATTATTGCGTCTTGAATCAAATGGGAGACATAAATTGCATATGCAGGTGAAAATGGTATGGTATATTGCTTTATAACGAACGGAAGTGTCGACAGGAGATTTGAAGTCATCACATTTGTCAGTTTTGTTGTTGACTTGCCGTTAATGCCGTTATTGATTTTTCTAATTAAAATATACAAATATAAAACAGATCTGTAGTAACTTTTATTTCTAATACAAAGCGATATGTAGAATCAACGTGGGAATGTTCTTAACTGATAAAAGTCGTTGATATATCAAAGCAGGTCACAATAAGAAACATCTTTAAAAGAAGATTTTTTGAATAAATTGATCTTCATGTGAATATGGAAATATCCCGCTAATTATGATAGCGAGGCAAAATTAATACTCATGGGGATTCCGATAGATTTTTGGAAAAACATTCATCAAAAGTAACAGATATTGCCAATGGAAAACTCCATTTTTTAACATAATTTTGAAAGTAACTAGTGCTAATTGTAACGGGGACCGTTACAGATGTTCCCCAAACGCTCCCCAACTCCCTTTTGGTGCCATATTCCCTGTAAGCTTCATTAAGTAAGACAAACTCTATGCATTTGAGACTTTAAGAACGTTTACCCAGAAGTGTACCAAGTTCATTCAAATTTAACCATTGCACGCGTGCGTATGTGAATGCATGTGCGTAATGACCATATCATCTTGTCTGCACAATCTATATATTTTATTATTCTAGATATTAAGGTATTTAATCCAAAAGTATTAAAAAAATACGCTCATTCAAGTGTATTTCTGATTTTACTCATTTCACATGCATGCACGTGCATACATGAGCATGGTGACCATACCTTCTTGTACAAGTCCATTACATCTATCTATGTTCTAAATCCCACCCCGTTTGGTTGAAAAGCAAGGGAGTTATACCTGTTTAAAGTTTCAGCCAATCAGATTGCAGCGCACGTACACACACGTGTATGAATGTGCATTGTGACCAAACCTTCTTGTAGAAATCCATTATATCTATCCATGTTCTAAATTCCATCCTGTTTGGTTGAAAACCAAGAGAGTTATAGCTATTTAAAGTTTAAGCCAATCAGATTGCAGCGCACGTGCATGCACGTGTTCTCATGATAATTGCTATAAATCATGTTGTAGGATATCTTACTGCATGGCTAAGTTCAAAATTTAAAAAGATTTCGTCAAAAAACAAGAAAGATATTGAGAGTTTAGTTTCAGCCAATCAGAGCAAAGCGCACGTGCATGCGCGTGAGATCCTGCTATTTTGACCATGTCATATTGTCTATGCTACTAGTATATCCTTATATTCTGAGTTTCAAAGCATTTCATCAAAAAGGTAAAAAGTTATGCCTATATCAATAAAATCGGTCATTTCACGTGTTGCACGTGCACGCTCTTCCAAGCACGTGCGCGCAAAATGACCTTCGTTCCGCAAATCTACATAACATGCCTACTGACCATAAAAAGGTTTTACCTAAGTCGGATGTGTAGTTTACAAGATCACTCCCGGACAAAAAAGTACCCAGGAAGAAGAAGAAAAATAACTAGAGCCGAGCTCGTTGCAAAGCAACGAGTAGGTCTTCCGTCCTGTTTGACCGGAAGTAACTTTAACTTAAAAAAAAAGAGTAATGAAGTCCCAAAATTGTTTAATCCTCCAAATCTATGTTAATTATTGCAAAATTAAGCCATCTTTCGCAACTTCCGGTTTGACCGGAAGTGACGTCGACGGACGGAAAATTAAGATTTAAGCTTTTAGTGACATATGATATCGAAAAACCTGTCAAGAACAGCAAAAAATATGCAATTTTGGACTACTTCCGGTTTGACCAGAAGTGACATCGCCGGACGTATTTTGACGACTCCATTAGATAAAGCTTGACATTTTGAACAACTTTGCTTCTTTGACGTATTACAAATTCTCAATACTTTTTGAGATATTTAGAAGAAACTGTTGGCCCCTCTAGATCCCTTACTTTAGGGGCCAGCCCCTTTTCTGAGATATTATTTAAAAGATCTTGCAATTCTACACATCTTTTGTTTTTTATGTTTTACCAAAATATTTTCAGGTAAAAAGATATCGAAGAAAATGTGTGAGAAATTTTAAAATTTGTGATAGGTCTATTTTTGGGCCATAGCGAGCGCTGATGTGCGTCATTTCCGGTAAATTTGAAATACCTGATACACCTCTCCAAACATAGCTCTACCTAGCCTCAAAGTTTGAAGTTTCTATCTAGAGCCGTTTTTCGGGAAAATTGTGGACAAAATGACCTTTAAAAATCAGAAAATCGACGATATCTCTAGACCGGAAGTGACGTCATCGAAACGGAAAAAAACGCATAAGGTTCAAGTAATGTTTCATATGTCCTGAAAGTTTCATATGACTTCGATAAGCCGTTTTCGAGAAATCGCGTGCACAAAATCGGTAAGAAAAAAAATAATAATAACTAGAGCAAAGCTCGTTGCAAAGCAACGAGTAGGTCTTCCGTCCGGTTTTGACCGGAAGTGTCTGAAGTGATGGAACAAAAGAAAGCATATTGAGCTTAGTAGTCTTCAGTTACTTTATACTTTCAATTTTGCTTCAAAACCTTCAAAACAAGCCATTTTTGCTACTTCCGGTTTGACCGGAAGTGACGACGACGGACGGAAAAAGTACGTTTTATGCTCCCAGAGCCATATGTAACCCAAAAACTTGTCAAGAACGGCAAAAAAACGCGATTTCCGACTACTTCCGGTTTGGCCGGAAGTGACGACGCCGGACGTATTTTGTCGACTGTAATAGATTAAGCTTGACATTTTGAACAACTTTGCTTCTTTGACGTATTACAAATTCTAAATACCTTTTGAGATATAAAGGAAAAACATTCGGCCCCTTTCGGCCCCTGATTTAAGGGGCCAGCCCTTTTTTCGTGGTATCGTTCGAAAGATCTTGGAATTCTACACTTTTTTTGTTCTACATGTTTTAACAAAATATTTCTAGGTAAAAAGTTATCGTAGAAAAGGTGTTAAAAATTTTGAAATTCTTGATAGGAGTTTTTCGGGCCATAGCGAGCGTCGGCACTTCGTACTTCCGGTGGCTGTGATATACGAAATTCACTTCTCCAAAGGTTGCTCTAGCATCACTGAAAATTTTATGTTTCTGTATTGAGTGGTTTTTCAGAAAACTGCCGGACAAAGTGACCCTCTGAAAATCACTAAAACGCGGAAATCTCAAAACCGGAAGTGACGTCATAAAAACAAAAAATTATATGTCTAGTTTTTTTCATGCTCTATCAGTCCTGAAAGTTTCATGAAAATCGAGCGAGCCGTTTTCGAGAACTCGCGTGCACAAAATCGGTAAGAAAAAAAACAATAATAATAATAATAATAATAAAAAAATAGTGGAAAAGAAACCTAAGAATAACAGTAAGGTCTTCCGCTGAAGACGGAAGACCTTAACTAGAGCAAAGCTCGTTGCAAAGCAACGAGTAGGTCTTCCGTCCGGTTTGACCGGAAGTGCCAGAAGTGACGGAACAAAAGAAAGCAATTAGCTATGTAGTCTCCAGTGACTTTATTATTTCAATTTTGCATCAAATCCTTCAGAATAAGCCATTTTTTGCTACTTCCGGTTTGACCGGAAGTGACGACATACGGAAAAAACTCTTTTTTATGCTCCTAGAGACATATGTAACCCAAACACTTGTAAAGAACGGCCAAAAAACGTGTTTTCCGACCACTTCCGGTTTGGCCGGAAGTGACGACGCTGGACGTATTTTGACGACGCCAATAGATTGAGCTTGACATGTAGAACAACTTTGCTTCTTTGACGTATTTCAAATTCTAATTACTTTTTGAGATATAAAGGAAAAACATTCGGCCCCTCTCGGCCCCTAATTTAAGGGGCCAGCCCTTTTTTCGAGGTATGATTTGAAAGATCTTGGAATTCTATACTTTTTTTGCTCTACATGTTTTAACAAAATATTTCTAGGTAAAAAGT